CCTGCCACTGTGGTCCCGCCCACCCACTCATTGCCACTTTCCCCCCTGCCTGCCACCGCTTCCACCCCCATTCTCCCATCTTCCTGCCTGCAGCCACCTTTCCTCCCCAACCCCCACCTGCCCGCCTGCCACTTTGGCACCATGGAGTTCCTGGCTGCGTGGCCAGGACTGCAGAATGCAGCAGGAGCCAGCCCAGCCCAGCCTGGCCCCAAAGACTGGGGTGATTGCTGGCAGTCCTCCCCTTCCCCTGTTCTTAGCTGAGTTTGCACTCCTGGATGGAGAGAGGGCAGGGGAACAGCCCCAGGGTCGCCAGGCCAGAAGCCACTGCTAGGCAGGACTTCCGGTTGGGGATGGGGGCACTGGGACCGAGCCGGCCTTGCTGCTGCAGCTGCAGCTGCTGGGTCCTGACGCCTGCTTCTCCTGGGTCCTGCCAGTGCTGGTGCAACCACAGGCAGATAACAATTTTCTAGATTTTTTATGGGTCCTGCAGAGCAGATAGAATGGCCTAACTCTGGCCTGCAGGCTGTATTTTGCCCACCCCTGCAGTAGTGTGTCATTAACGCAGCTGTATTGCTAGTGGTTTTGAAATTAGCATGCATGGAGCGTCTCAGGATAGCAGTGGTGTTTCTCAGCAGAGTATTGCTTTTCACAGCACTGGTTTTCAACAGCAAGTGCCTTATCCATGAGCTATATATTTAAATTTCTTTTTGGAGTACTGAGTATTTATACAAAATGGAACATATCTGGCAAGATAAATTGAAAAGACCCACCCCAGAATAACAGTCAACTGGGCTATGAATAGCCCCAGGGTTCAAATCCTTGCTTTGCCTAATTTAAATTAGGTACTTGAGTCTGGATCTCCCACACTTTAGGTAAATGCCCTACTACCAAGCTGTTTACTACTTGCTTTCTTTTGGCAAAGCTTTTAAAAGGTCTTCGCTTTGTCTCAGTGTAGTACGGGAGAAAAAAATGAAATCTCAAAACTATGTAGGACAGAAAAACTTTTCTATCCAGCACAAACCTGATCCTATCAAAGTGCATGACGTAACTCCCGTTGTGTTAAGTAGTGTTGGAATTTTTCTTCGTGTTTGTGTATAGAAGGAAAACACAAAGTTTGAGAGGTAGACCACAATAATCCATTTAAATATGTAATTTCTTTTTTTTTTTTATTTTGCTTTCAGGAAAGTTGTTTAAATCTGAAGACTTGCCGTTCATAGTAGAGTTTTTTTTAATGTTCTACAAAGATAAGCCGATAGACTGGCTCCTAGATCACTTACTCTGGGTTAAAGTGTGCAATCCTGAAAAGGATACAGTAAGTATTTCCATACTTTTATGAGCATAAATAAGTTATAGTAGAAAGATCATAATTATAACATGATTCTGTTTAAAAAATGGAGGCATAGAAATCCTTAGCAAGGAGATATATATATATATAT